TGTTAAGAATATCTATTAATAATAATGATAATGGTTTGGGGGAATCCATATTTCATTTATGTTTAAGCGGGGAGCACAGACTTTTGCATAACGCATAAAGCATGTGCATAAGGAATTTCATTGGCCCATTTTCTTATGCATGAGTCAATGGACCAATCAAATTCTTTATGTATATGGTTTATGCGTTATGCAAAAGTCTGTGCTCCCCGCTTTACATTTACTTATTGATAATTATATGCTATGCACGAGTATTTAAATATATTATTTTTTAATCGCGAGTACAATAATTATAATATACATAATCCCGATGAATATTCGTTTTTGAGGGAGATTTCAGAGGAAGGTTACGAATTAAAAAAGGCTGATATATATGTATATCTCAGATCTTATAGGGGCACAATTAAGGATAATGACTTTATGTTACGATGTATTGGTTTGCGAATTTATGCTGCATGATCATCTTTATATTCGAGGATTTTAGTTTTTCTATATTATTTAAACTTTTTTAACTGTGAGAGTGATACGTATATCTTACTCAAGCAGTAAATTGCAAAGGTCTTGGTACTTCCCGTTTATTAATTTTTCGAGGACGACAATTTTTATATTTCGTATTGTGTATATTAGTCATTTTTATCGTGTATGTATATTTATCATTAAGATTTATTAATATTTTTGTGAACTATGTCTGATATTCATAGTCAGTTCTCATATTTAAAACCATCATAAGTAGTCTTTTAAAATGTTATAAATAAATCCATCAGAGCCGTATTAGCATTAAGATATAACTTAAGATGATCTTGAAATAGAAACGGACTATGGATGTTGACTAATGTATTATGATATATAGATTGAAAATGTTTTTGTATATAAATTTTTCTTTTCGTGGAAAAATTCTATTATTTTTTCGTAATTTTCATACGAAGCTCAGATAGAGTCGATAAAACTTAATCATGAATTGACACAGTATTGTATCGAAATAAAGAGACTGCAGATTAAACTATTTAGTATATTAACTTGTATATAAGTAAATATGCCCATGTTATGTTTAATTTTTGTATAACGAACAACTAAATAAGGAAAGGAGTATGTGTGTGCGAAGAAAGGAAAATTTTAATTCCCATTTAGTCCATATTGCAACGATAATAACCTTTTACTAACGATTTTACTGTAATTGAGGATTGATGTTACATATTACATATATTGTACTTCATGTAACATTTGCAATACTAGTAAGATTTCAATTATTGAAAGGCCAAAAGAAACCTAGAGCAATATATATATTGCTCTATATATTAAGTAATTCTTTATATATATATATATATATATCTATTTCTATTTATAAATACGTTTTTCGTATTTTGTAATATACGAAGTTCTTAAATAAGATACAAATATCAAGTATTACATTAAAATGGTTCCCTATCATCTATAAATAGAGTTAATAAAACGATATAAAAACATATAAATATAAGAATTATATGTCATATATCAAAGACGATTTATTCGTAGCTAATTTGTTCAGTATGATTATTTCCTTTTACGCACACGGATAATTTTATTTTATTTTGCGTAATTTTTTAGATAAAATTATGATGTATTGATATCATTCTGATTCGTAATGATCTTTATAATTGAAAAAAATGCAATGGTATAAGATTTATTAATGCTACACATATCAACACAATTTGTTACTTATTTGTGCACTAAATATGTAGATAATATAATGCTCTGTACTTCCGATTCATATAATACAGAATGTATTGTTTCAGTATTGATATACAGACGTATATACACATATTCTTATATTATATGGTTTAGAGTTTAGATACTTTACGTAAAATCGAGCCATCGATTGCTATATAAAACAGATGCCAATATTATATAATAAATCGGCATCGCCTTTTTTATTATAAAATAATTATACTGAAGTTACTTTTAAGAATAAAACATTGTAACTGATATGCTGCCAAATATAAGGTGATGCATTTCTCATAATAATGACCTGTTTATTATTTAGTTTATGTATGTTGACTTATGTTCACTGAAATTTATGCATGTACACGAAAATAGCTCCTATTATGATGTGGGGATTAGAAAATAACAAAAACTAATTTTTATCTACGTTTTAATACATATATCTCTATATTTCTCGCTTTACACGTACACGTGTTAAATGCTACGGAAAAAAATAAGGAGTATAGGCACAAAAAAACCACAAATGCAAAAAATTTACTGAAAGTGATGAAATACATTATAAGTTAAAAAGTATATATATAAAAGTAATATCACCTATCTTGAATTAATACACATTAATTATTTTACAATCCAATTTACGTTGCATTGCACAAGATATGATGCGGCAAATAATATGCATTAATGAAGAATGACAATTACCATTCTTCCAGAAACGTGACTTAACATAAAACTTATCTTTTTATGTCATTTTGCTTTTGTACTTTTTTTTCCTTTTGATAACATAATGCTAAAAAGACATAGTTATTTTCAATAAACACTCAAGTGATCGAATTTTCTTACAACAGACTCGAGTTACAACGTTCGTATTGGTTACTGTAAATACGTATAATCAGTTATCACGATTATTTACGATGTTGTAATGACTATCTGTTTATGTAGTACTGCTTCATATTGTACTGTACGAGAAGATTACAGCTGCACACCTCTTAAATCTAAAATAACCTAATATTCTTAATATTACATATAGAGATACCAATATATGCAAGTGAATTCAAGAAGTGTTGTAGTAATTACCAAAAATTCGAGACAAGTTTAATAGGCGTAAGAAATCTAAGAAATTATACGGCATTTATAAGTATTACAAATCTCAGTTCGCGCGCGCGCCTAAGTCTATTGTGATGCGATTTCTAGTGTCACGTATAATGTATTATTGAGTTTTGACATCTGAAGACGTCAAGACGAAGTCAAATTTGTTCAATTTGAACAATGATGGAACAATGATGGATATACATGGTTACACTTATGATATATATTTTTCACACATAATTGCCTTATTTCATATAATTTGCAAATAAATCACATTTTTTTTTATCCATATGCATTTCTTTTTTTCTGTAAGATCGATTCATTTTAATGGTCTTGGGAAACAAGATTTCAAGATGTATATAGAATAAAGTAGACTTTTTAAAAATTATTAAAACTTTAGACGCGCAGATCAATAGTTAACATATTTTTCATTGGTATTAATATATCAACTATTATGCAGCATAGTATAGTATTGCAAAATGATTTTCTATATTATACAGAATCTATATTAGTTGTACAATTGTAAAGTAATATTATAATTAAAAGATGGATTACGATCTAGTTCGGATATTAAAGCTGACGTAAAAATGGACGTGAAATCAGTCTCTATTTTACACTCGCATCGATTTGATTTCTTTCTCGAGCGCCACAAAATTAGTTATTTTTTCTCGTGTTACCTTCATTTAATCGCATCATAAAATATCCGATTACTCCAGAAATCCTTCGCGCGGTCATTTTTTTTACTCAATTTTTATTCTACCAGTAATTAAATTTACAACCTAGTGCATTATACGTTTAATATCTTTTTCGTATCTTTTTCGTACGACAAACGGTAGTGGGGAAAACAATTTCAAATTAAATATTTTGTAAGAGATTAATATATGATGTTTTATACCTGAATAATATTCAACAAACTTAGTTTTAGTAACGCTGTTTTGATATATGTAATTACAGTTTCTACATTCATGTTAAAACCAGATTGTAACTAAAATGCACGTTTGCCATACATAAGCATACAGAATGCAAACACATAATATATAGATATCTCAATGTATAGATCTTAAAACTCGTACTTATTCTTAATTAAAAAGAATGGCAGATATCACCATTAAGTAAGCACGAATGCGTTTTAATCGCTAGAATCTTGGATCGCAAAAAGTTTGATTTTAAATTTATACAATTGTTAAAACTTTATCAATTAAATGGAGTTCACGAGACAGTGCAATTCAGAAAGTATTTTTGTGTTAAAAAAAATAACAAGTTTAAAAGAAATAAAAAATAAATAGGAATTATCAAATATTGTACAAATATATGTATATGTGATATCTTTTTTTGTAAATAACTTATAAATAATATATATAGATATATTATGCTGCATCAAAAGTCAAATCAATCTTCTTGCTATTCAAGTGGATTTAAAGTTTGAAGTACATTCACCATTTACCCTATTTTCATGTTTCATCGTGGTTATATTCTACAATCTACGATCGTCTAAAATTTCGAAATATTAACTCGTGAAAATATATTAATCGATTTAAAAAATAAGTAAACAGTGTGTCCTGATTTTCAGCGTCACTAAAAACGAGTCGTAAAAAGAGTCCCTCACAGCCTAAGTAAGATTTTCACTTGAGATCTTAAGTTTGTTAAATGATTGCTGAAGCAAGACTCGACAATAGTGTTTCTTTAAAGCCGTCTTGCGCAAATTTTCAAGTAAAACGATATATTTGTACAAACAATATAACTTTGATTTTTCCGATTACATACTCGCGATTATTTTGTTGCCAATTGATCTATCCAAAATATTCGTAAAAAATAACATGATGTCACTGTGAGTCTTTTTATCATACTCTATATGATTCGTGCACAATATCTCGCATTGTGTGAGGCATGTCCTGCTAACAATTCTGTAAACATCTCATCATTCTCTACTATAAGTATTACAAAAGGAACTCTTAAGAAAAGTTTTTATTGGACAGATAGATACCAAGCTGTAAAACTTTTTCTCAGGCTGTAAAAAGTTTTATTAGTGTATGTGCGCATGAAAGGTTTTACAGCTTGATGAAGAGTAAATATTATAGAAGGTAAAATGGTTTATATACGTTTCAAGAATGACAAGATCTGATTGAGACACACACATGTATATTATATATAGTATATTAAATTATATATAGTATATATATATAATATATATTATTATATATATATATATATAATTCCTGCTCATATACATATTTCATAAACTTACGAAAATCCTCCCCCTATACCATGCAGTGCATTTTGTTCCCTCTATTCAGTTTAACTTGAACAGTGGGTTATTTCTGTAGACGTACAATGATTTCAATTTATACAAATTATACAAAGATTGAAAATGCTAAAAACATTTGCCTCTGTGCGAGAAGCGAATTCTCGATAGAGATGGCATCGAACAAGAGATGCAAATTGCAAATTTGTTTTAACGAGTGATTTGTAAAAGCGATTGTTCTTTAATATTTTGGCAAAAAAATATACATAATTATCCCGCACGATATCACGTTCAATGTTTCTCGTCTATAAAAGTTTTAGGATACTTCGTTATCGTTTCATCTAATTGTGTAACTGATTTCGAATGACGCGCATAATTACATGCACAACTCGCGCCCTTTATCTCTCTCTTTATCTTTGTACCTACAGTCACAGTCATTGAACATCTAACACGATGATCCGCTTAATACAACTGTTGGATTGGAAACAGTAAATTCTAATCATTACGTGTAGCCCGATTTTATACGTGACTTAAATAGAGAACGGACAAGAGAGAAAAGACATAGAAGATTTCTACGATGGTTCTGTAGTGACTGTGGTTTCTGATGATGTACTTACAGGTGATACCACAGTCGATTTGCACGCTGGAATAAATTCAGCTGCATCTGGATTTAGTGTACTCTGGAAATTCACATGTACAAGCAGTAATTGTTAGTTATACATTTAAATAAAACATATTCTCTCTCTCTCTCTCACTTTCATTAAAGCTCATTTTTCAATGTGCTCTTTGTTTTCTGTTTCTTATTTTTACCCTCTTTAAGGTTGTTTTATCGACAATTGTGTTTCTTGTCTCTTCTAATGTTTGTCAACTTTCATTGGGCAACAGAAAATGAAGAAACTGGACAAGAGGTAAAAAAGTGGTAAGAAGCAAGAAACAGGAGGTATAAAAACACATCGTGGAACAGACTCGAAAGAAGAGAGACATTTTTTTAAGTACCTGCTTGGCAAGATCGTCTTGCATCCTCAGACTGCTCAGTTGTTGACAAAGTTCAGCAGCATTATTGTCGGAGGTGCCAGTAGCCGTAGACCAAGCAGTAGAGCTCATATTTCTTTGATGTTGCCTCTCTTCTTCCAGCATCGCTTCTAAACACTCCTCCATCAGTTCTTCCTCTTCCAGTTGTTGGAGTACCTGATGCCGACAGAAACGTCAAGTGTGGAGTAAAGAACAATTGCAAGAAGTTTTATACCGTATATACATATATATATATATACGAATAAGGTACCTGCTTGTCAAACTCCTCTTCGTTCTCCATCCAGAGGTACTCTGAAAAGTCGCCATCGCCTATCGCTTGCACCTCAGCCTCCGTGTCGCTGTTATTGTCAACGTAGGAAGTGATGCCTGTCTCTTGTCCATAATAAGTCCCATTTCCAGACCCGCCGTTTGGGATCTTCATTTTCATAGCCTGTGTATGTGAACGATGCGTCTGCTGATTACCTGCAAATTCTTGTTATCAACGTCCACTCAATGCCGTTGTTAAGATAACGTCGAGAGACTTAAAAGACAACTTTATTGACACACGGAGCGCCGTGTTTCTATCGACAGCCGTTCAAAAATAAACAAACAGTCCAGATAGAGCGATAGAGTATTGAAACGTGATTCTCCAAACGGACACTCCGCTTGTAAACAACATACTCTCTCGGGTGGTCAATTCCAATTGCACGTCACCGACCCTTTCACGGGCGGAGGGCTCGAGGCGATATCGGACGAGGGTGCCGCGCGCAACCCCGAGCCGAAACGCGGCGAAACCGTGGATTAACGAATCGCGATTCTACAATTCTCGCACATATGGGAACGGCGACTCGACCGACTCGGCTTCTCTAGTGATTCTTCAGCACATCCCGGAGTGTTTACCTGAAACTTGGCGGCCCGGCGGCCGAGACAGTTCGGTGTCGCTGTCTTTCTCTCTCTCTCTCTCTCTCCCTCACTTCTCTCGCTAACGGCGCATAGCGAAAACGTACGGCGCGAGAATCGTCCTAGTCACTTGACAGATGAGGTCGCACGGGCGACCATATTTGCGAGCGCGTATCGTACTCGTCGTATCGTATCGAAATCGGACGGGTTGGCGCGTTCTCTCTCGCGCTTTCACTTTCCTTCTCTCTCGCTCTCCCTCTCTCGTTCTCCCTATTGTTTATCGAACGACGGTTGGCCCGATTACCCTCCCGAAGAGTAACGGGGAGACGGCCGCGTTTTCCCATCGAACTTGGTCACGCACGCGGAACGTACCTTCCTCTGTCTGATAAAAGGGCCCTCGGACTCGCTCTACGTCCTCGTCTACCTTCCCGTCGATCGTTTGCGGTCGTCGCACGAAATATGCGCGTGATTTACGCAGTTCACAGACACGTACCGAAATACGTGTCGTTCAACGCAAATTAGCGATCGCACCAGTGCTGCCACCGACGTTGTTGTTAAAATCTGCAGCGGGAGCGCTGGTAAAATTCCGATTACTCCGAATTTTCACCAGTGGACCGCCTTTCGCGGACTCTCTCGGGGATTTTGTATCCGCGAGAGAGATGACGAAATCGCCGAGGAACGTCCGCCGACAAATCGAAAATACGTGGTTACTCACTTTGCGAAAAATAAAAATGTCGCTTAAGCGTTATAGAACTCCGTCGGCGTCTTAATTTTGTCGATTTCACGACGTTACGTGAATTAATGAAATAAAATTTGATTGAAAAGTTGTGTAGAAAGATTTTACGAGAAGGATTTTACGTAGAGTTCTACGTAATGAAATTAAATATAATTAAATTATTTAAACGTAATTATTTATTCAAATATTATATTTAAATACAATTAGAAATATGATATATATTATAGTCATTAATTACTTGTATTTATATTTGATCAGGTGGAGTATTTAATTACTTATTCATGTATATGTACATTTTATGCATCTGCTGTTTACAATGAAATTTTCTATTTATTACTACGTCTATGTATAACATTATCATACCCAATAGAGTTATTATTACCACTATTTTCGCAACGTAAAGTAATCCAATTGTAATGCTAATTATATAGGCGTACGCGTGTATAACGCACGAGGGAAGAGGAAAATAAATATCGTGACGCGCTTTCCCGACAGATGTCGGCCTCGGACAAATCGCGGGACGATCGAAGCGATCCGTCGCGATTCCGCCGCTCGGAAGATTCCTCTTTTTTTCCCTTTGTTTTTTTTTTTTTTTACGCGGGAGGGGAATGACATGACGTTCATTTCTCGAAAGTTACGCGCGGCGCGGTGAGTCGCGCGCGACGCCGAGACGGCGGCGCGCGTGGGATTGACGCACGTAGTGCGCGTCGCGTCGCGTCGCGTCGCACGCGAATCGTCGCGTCGACTCGCGCGGTCTATTTACACCGCGGCGCGACGCGATTGGCCCGGAGACGGCTGGCGCAGCTGACACATGCGCGTGCCGACGTGCGTCAAAACAAAGCACGGCAGCGCTGCCCTCCCGGCGGGCAGCATTTTATCGCGATTGTCCGTGGCGGCAGGTTGCATCTCGTCGCGTTGCTCGTCCCGTCAGCACAGCGTCCTGTCTCGCGCGCGCACACGCACACGTTTACGTTTGCATTTCTGCGTCTCTCGTTCCTGGTGCTCACCCTCGTCTCTTTCTATTTCCTCGTCGCGAACGAGTACTCCTATACGAGTGCCACGTACGGCGCATCGTACACGGCGATGTCGTCCACGGCGAAGTATACGTCGGATGAGCAGCTGAGCGGTAAGTAAAGCGCAAAAAGCAACGCTGGAAAAACAACGCGCGCCGCAACCCGCCGATTGTCAGACGCGCGACGGCCATTTCGCGCGATGTATCCGCCCACCCACCCGCTCCCGCCTGCCTCTCGTCCTTCTCCATCTCCTGCAAAGCGTAAACAAAGGTACTTCGTATTGCCGAAGCGTTATCGCTCCGTCCGTCTGGAGCGTCGCGTCGTCGGCGTCGAGAAGAAGCGGCTGTCAGATTCGGCCGGTGCTCCGCTGCCGTTCAATGACAGCTGCCTTTTCGGAAGCGATTGTTGGCTCTGATAAACCTCCGCTCTCGTTCGTCATCTGACGATCTCGACGCGTCACCGGAAAATCGGAGCAGCCCGTTGAACCCCGCCGAAACAAATTGACGCGACGCGACGCGACGCCGCGCGTCGCGACGCAGTTTTGGCGCCATTTCGGGCCTACTTTCAACGCGCCGCGTTGCACCCGCTGCAAGATTCAATTTTTCATGTCTCGCGCGCGCCGCGAATCGATACTTCACCCCGGCCGGAGCTTCGCGTGAAGTTGCACGGGGAGCGAGGCGAAGTACGCCGGATTTGTGAAGTTCGGTCACGCGCTTCTCATGGAAGTGGCAATGCCCGTCTCCATTTTGCCCATGCAGTTTTATTTAATTTTTCGTATATTCTACATTTTTAATACGCTCTTTTCTTTTTTTTTTTTAAATCCAGTTTTATTTAATTTTTCGTATATTCTACATTTTTAATACGCTCTTTTCTTTTTTTTTTTTAAGGAAACGTCTCTGTCGACGTCTGTTTCGAGAATATAATTTTTCCTATCCTCTTATTAAATTCTTTTTTCTAATTCTCGATACGCTCTTTTCTCAATACTTTACTTTCAGTTATTTTCCGATTTCATTTTTGAATGAAAGCGTTACAGAATAGATTTCATTGTAGTATTCTAGAATATTTTGATCCAAATTTAAACAAACGAATGTGTAAATATCTTTTATCGTATTTTTTAGTCCGCTTCCTTTGATACACATATAAGCGGATAGATAAAATATTTGTGGTTAGTAATGCGATTAGTTCCTGCTGTTTTTATTCAGAAATGTTATAAAGATAGCACGGTCATTCGAGGAAATGATCAATAATAATAATAACTGTACTATTATACCGCAGATCGAAAACTTAATTACTTTCTGCGCGTAAATAATACATTTTTTCGTTTTTTCTTCCGCATTTTCTGAACATGTGATAAAGTAAGATAAGAGCTGAATGTTTCAATATGTATATCAATAGTCAAAGAAGTCGTGAATTGTCAATGATCACTTTATCAAGTATCGAAGAGCAGCGGCTTATGCATGAGAAACAAATACTAAATTTTAATAAATATTTATTTGGTTAATGCCAACTAAACATTTTTGAAACTCGCAGTAAAAATAAATATTTATTCAATAAATTAAAGAAATGATTGTTAAATGAAATTAATGATTCTTGTACGGGAAAAGATCGATTTTTTAAATAAAGTTTTTAAAAATTTAGCTAGTTACAAATCTGAAAATAATTTTGTTACATTATTAAAGTAATTATGTAGGAATTTCGAATATAATGAGCAAATAGTTTTAATATTCTAGCAATTAATTTGAGGATCCTCCATAATTATTTTAATGTAACAAGGTTATTTTTTTAATTTGTATCTAACTAAATTTTTAAGTACTTTAGTTTAGGTATACCTTTCTTTGTTATGTTTGTGTGTGTTGTATGTGTCCATCAAATAAATGTATTTTTATATTTAGTAAATATTTAATTATTATTCAAACAAATGATTTATTAAAATTTAAAATATTTTTTAGTATGGCAATATATTGAGGAATCCACGATTTCTCAGAAATTTCGCAATGCATCTCCAAATTTTTGATTCACTTAAAAAAAAAAAGACTTGATAAAAAGACTCGCGAAATTTAATTAATTCCATGGTTAAAATTGCGCACTTCGCGTGAAAAAATTTCCGTAGACACCTGCCTACATTTTTTACAATTTTTACAGGCTCGTAGTATGGCTTTATAATTTCCTCAGAAAATTTTAAACTACGAGGAAACCGATATTTCAGCTGTGGTTATCCTTTTATAGTAAAAGAGGTCAGACGTTCTATTAATAATTCATAATGCACGCCAGTAATAAAAAATATGCAAGACTCTGTAAACAGTTTTATCATTTTTGTAATAATATTTCTACTAAAAAATAATTTATTTAACACATTTTCTTCATATACATAGTTTTCTTGCTCCCTTGATTAAATTTCAAGTCGTAATTGTTGACATTATTGTGCGTGCCCAGAGATTGTCGAGATAATAAAAAATAAATACTTACTTTTCTTAATTAAATTTCATCCGCGCGTTTGATTTTAGAGTCTTTTAATTTCTTAAGTCGAATTACCTATGTAGAGTTTACCGATTAATTTTAAATTGCCTCGTTGCTCGCTTTGCAAATCTTTGTCACATGAGAAGACGATGATTTGAATCGGGCACGCGTATGTACTTTTACTACCGCAATCTTTACCTCTGTTTGTTTTGCAAAGCGTCTGATGGTCGATAGCCTCGACGAAAAATGACGTAGGCACCACTTTCATCTCGCATTGCGATTCTATTTGTTTCCTCCCACCCCCGTCTTCTCTCGCTCGTGTTGAATTACGAGTTGCATCTTTTTAACGTTAACAATACCCGATGTTGTTCTCGATGATATGAATCGCGAGGTAAATAAATAAATAATGTTTTGCAGAAGTATCCGAGTATACGCTAAAGATTGCAACGCTAAATTTATCCGCGGCTCGGATTACGGCCTCCAGTTTCCCTGTCGTCGTATTACGAGAAATTAGATACCGTCTCTGTAATTTCTAGATTTCTTTATTAACCTGTTGTAAATTTTCATCCATTTTTTACTTTTGTGTAAACAGATTTATCGTCCTTTTTACACGTAAATGTAAATATATTTTTAAAAAAACTAAATTTTAATAAATACGAGTATTTGTTTGAATAATTCTAAGTAAATATTTATTAAATATCAACATTCACATATTTATTTGATACATAAACCATTTATTTAATTTAATTACCATTTTTTAAAATAAATATTTTATTTATTTACTGTAAATGTTTACTTGGTACTATTCAAAGAAATATACACATCAAGATTTATTAAATTTTTTTCAGTATATTTTCGATTGCAATGCTGTTTTCGCACAGACGTCTAATGGTATCTTCGCTGCGTGATTTATTCGCGTATATTCTGGCTCGCGGAAATCGTCCATAAATCATGTATGGCTCGCATGACCTATTAACACGGCAAAGTATTCAACTCCGGAGGCAGCCGAGTAAATCTCGGACCGATGTGAATAGTGAGTTATTTAAAGCGAATTTAACAAAAAAAAATCTTTATTGCTCTTCGGAGAGCAGAAATGGAAGTCAAAGAAAATAAAAATGTAAACGGCCGATATGAAGCGTTACTTTTGTTTCTTTTTCGGAATCGCTGTAAACATTTTTGATATTCCAAAAATAATCGTCTTTTTTTGCCTTCTTTGACTGCTGGATTATCGACGCGAATAGAATTGGGTCAGTGTCCTACAAACTCGCGTGGTCCGAGTGTTCTATTTAAATTGGACGAGCCCTAATGAGTACGTCGCTCGGTCAAGATCAGGGCCGTATCCGTTACAATGAACGTCGTCGTCGCTAATTGAAATCGCATAACGAGATAACGTGTTGTGCGCAGCAGATATATAACGTCGACAATCTAACGCTAGAACGTTCAGTGCCATGCTTAATCGAAAAGTAATGTTACGATACTTGTTATCGGTATAATAAACTATTGAAGAGATATCAATTTAGATAGCGTTTAGATATTGATAAGTATTGTTATGTTACTTTGCGATCAAGAATGGCATTGAACGTTCTAGCGTTAAATTATCGATATTATTCATTCTGCTGTGCATGTTAAATTTACTGATAATGTCAAATTATATTCCATTTGTTATTTTTACCCACTTTTATCGGTTGCCACTGTTTCTATTCAATATGTCGTCAGTTTGACTGAAACAATGAAGTTAAACAATTTAATTGAAGAGAACGTATTAAATTTGACTCCAATTTATAGTTTATTATTTACACACTAAATGCATACATTAATATGACATTGTTTACTTTGAAACTACCACACAAATTAATAGATTAATTTACATTTTGACGGAAGTTATAAATAATGAAATATTATTTAATTTAAGAGATTGAGTTATCATCGGTCCTATGATCTATATCTAAATTTTAATTGCTACAGCTCACGTAATGAAATAATCACAGAATTTCTGAATGATTTTAGAAAATAAAAAATATCGAAATCTATTTTCTTTTTCTGTCTATACTCTTTGATATGCAAAGTGTGATAAATAATGCTTTGTTTTTTGTTATCTGATTAACTTGTGGTTTAGATTAGACTTAATTATAAAAGTTGCGTTTTTCGCTAAACTAATCGTTTTGTAGCGGTAATTTTAAAGTACTATACAAAACACACCATTAATTTAATGACTATATAACTATATATCTAGAAAAACAATTTTCCAAGTCAAGTCCAAATTACGAGTTAATCAGAAAATGAAAAACCGGGCCTATAAAAGTGAGTTTGCGAAAATTTTGATGCCAATCGAGAAATTACTACCGCGACACGAAGTAAATGCTCGGATATACGCGATGTCTCCGAGATAACTATTGCAAGAGAGAAACTGCGTTTCGGAAGAGCGTGAGTCATCTTGGCGAGTTCGTTCCCATTCGCGGTAACGTGATACGCGATCGTCCGCACGTCGTTCTAACGGATCTCTACGTGATCGTCTTCAGGAGCCTGGGATTCATTAGAGCGGCGCTGACCCGAAATCATCATGAGAACGTATACTCAGGAGCCTACGTGACTCGGCTCACGCGAATACTCGGATACATTCTCTCGAACAGCTCGTCAAACCACTGCACTGACCTGC